TGGTCTCCTGCCTCCGGGGTGCGTTCCGCAGCTGCGCCTCGCCGAGGTATTTCCAGGGCTGCCCGAATCTTTCCGAGCTGCCGCCAGAGACCCGAGTTATGACGACAGTCGGGAGCCTTGATACAGGGGTCAATGCAAACGGGGGTCAGCCAGGGCACCGGATCCTGCAGGATCCTGCGAAGACCCCCTCTGGCTGACCTGGGTTTGCGAGCCGCTCGTGGCCGCGAGGCGGCCGCACATATTGGCTGACCCGGGTTTGCGAAGACCTGCGTTGCAGTTTGTCTCTCCTGCATTGCAGGTTTTTGGTGTCCTGCTGACCCGGTTCTGGATTGACCCGGGTCAGGAGATCCCCAAGACAGGGGGGGGAGGGCACCTGAGCCAGTCACCCCTCCTCGTTCGCCCTCGCTCCAGAGACGAGGCTCGATCATATATACGGTCGGGAACTGTTGGCGTGGCGCGTCGCTCCGCTGGCTCTGGCCCACCGCGCTTCCGCGCGACACGCTGTCCACGTTCTGGCCCCCTGCCGTCCACTTGCCGAGCCTTCCCTGACCTCCCCGCCCCGCGGAGCGGAGCGGCACGCCATACCCACTGGCAGGGCACGGCCTGTCGCTGGAGCCGCCAGGGCGACACGCTGTGCAAAGGCTCCCCAGCGTAGGAGCAGCGTCTTTTGTTCTGCACCCTCGGCTTCCCAGGGGCACGGGCGGGAAGGTCGGGCCGGACGAGAGGGGGGGAAATTGGGAGAAAGGGGGGGGTACGACACTTGCTGCGTGCAGCTGCTTCTGGCCCCACCGAGGGGCCCAGTCCTCGATACATGGGCGCCTCCGGCGCCGGGAGGCGCCAGGAAAGTCAGCCACGTGAGCTGACTCTCAAGCCCCCCCCTTTGCTATCCCCCCCTTTCGCCCGACCCGCGGAGGGCCCCGTGTAGCTCCCGCCCGCCCTCGCGAGGCCTCGGCGCCCGCGGGCCCGCCCGCCACCCCGCCGAAGGCCGTGCGGGCGGCGCCGCCCGCGGCCGCGGAGTTCGAGGCCATCGACTGACGCGTCCGAGGCGTGGGAAGTGGGCACCAGCGAAGATCGGCGGCGAGCGAGGAGGGGAAGCGAGGAGGGGAGGGCCCTCTCGGAAGGCTCGGGAGTCCTCCGGTCTGCGGAGAAGCTCTCAGTCGCCTGCCCCGAAGACGCAGGCAGCCTCTCAGAAGGCGCGAGGGCTTCTGAGGGGCCCCGCCGCCTTCTGAGAACTGAGGAGGCCTTCTCCTTCTCACCTCCTCCCCCCCTCGCTCGCCGCTGCACCAACGCAGGGGGTTGGCTGCGCCGGGGGAAGGTGGTCCTAGATGCCGGAAGCCCGAGCATTGCCACCATGACCGAGATCGGCCGCCGGGCACCCGTCGGCTGCACGGAAGAGTGGCCCCTCGCCGGAATGACGTGTGGTGCTGGCCCGAAGAGGGGGTCGGTCGATGTTGTTCTTCGGGTTGGGCTCGACCTCGCGTCGGCACCCGCAGCGTGGGGTTGCGCTCGCATCTGAGCGCGCCCAAGGTTGGGCCCCCCTCGGGCAATCGACCGCAACGCATACGCGGCACATCCTACAGCGCGCTTGGGTTTTCCGAGGGGAGGGGGGCGATCGACCGGGCGGCGCGCTTTCCGCCCCAGGACCAGTCCCGAATCCCAGCCCGAAGCCCAACTCGTCCGCCGTGAATGTTTTTGAATTAGTTTGAATACATTTGAATACATTTCAACATATTTTGGGACCAGTAGGGTTCTTCACCATCCAGAGCTACCCAGAGATCTTCCAACAGATTCCGTGCACATGCTGGCCCCAGTCTTGTGCCACGACGCCGGACCTGGCCAGACGTCATCGCGATGCGGCCTGGCAGTGCCAGACCTCCTCGTGGTGGCCACTTGCATCGTCTGCTCTCGCAGCGCCTTCGGAGTGCCACTCGGGGCGCTCGGATCGACTTGGCGGAACTCCGCGCCTGCCCGCTGGCGCCGAGGATCTCTCGAGGCGCGCCCCGCCGATCGTCGATGCGGCGCGACACCAGCGGCTTGCCCAGTTGCGCGGGGCCCCCACGGGTGCCCCTTAAGCCACGCACCAGCGGCCACTCGAGGTCCAGGGCCACTCTTCCGTGTAGCCGAACTCGGGCGGCTGCCGTGCCGCCGCACGTGCCCCTTCCCCACCCCCCCGTTCCCCCTCCACCTCCTTCTCCTCCTCCTCCTCCTCCTCCTCCTCCTCCTCCTCCTCCTCCTCCTCCTCCTCCTCCTCCTCCTCCTCCTCCTCCTTCCCATTTGCGCGCTCGAGGACATTAAGTGCTATGCTTGCTGCGCCTCCTCCTTTTCCTCCTCCTCCTCCTCCTCCTCCCCCTCCTCCTCCTCCTCCTCCTCTGCCTCATCCTCCTGCTGCTCCTCCTGCCTGCGTCCGCTCGTCCCCATGCTCCCTCGACGCTCCCTCATGTATGCTCTTCCTCCGCTTCCTGCTCCTCTTTCTGCTCCCCCCTGATCGTTGCCGTCGTCCGTCTCCTCCTTCCGATCGTGGCACAGCGTGCCTGCCTTCAGAAAGCGTGCAAGCTCCGATAGGTTTTAGTTGTCGTCGTCGCTCTCCTCTTTCTCCCTAACATGCCCCGTATCCATCCATCCTCCTCCCCACTCATCCTTGTTCTCTCCACTCCTCCTCCGAACGTGCCCATGTTGGCTCTGAACCCGCCTGCCTGCGGCGCATGACCTCGCGATGCCCCCGCCAGCTCAGCAGATTGGCGGATTCCTGGGGGCCGTGGAAAAGTCACGACGGTCAGCTTCTCGCCGTTTCGGCCTTCGGGTGTTTTTTCCGTGTCTGGTGCGCATTCGGCCCGCGGATCAAAACGGTTTTTTTTCCGTGCCCAGGAAAGTCGAGAGCTCCAGGGCAGGCGCCGCCGAGACAGGTACAAAGCAACGGGTAACTCGGCAGCTCGCAGGCGGGTCGCCAGGAAAGCTGCAGCACAAGCGCCGCTGTCTTCGCGCGGGAGGGCGCAAGCGGCAGCAGAGCGCCCATCAGGGCGGCGCTGACAGGGGCTCACGCCACGACGGCGGTCTGAGGGTCCTCTGCGCCGAAGGCCCGTCTGCGCAGCGTTGCGCCCCGCGGCGCTCCTGGGAGCCCCTGCCAGCGCTCACTGCGTGAAGCTGCGCGCGGCGCGCGCACCCTGGCGAGCCAGCGTGCTGCTGCAGTCGGGAACGTTGCCGCAGCGTGGCGCACCGCTGGTGGTTCTGACCCACCACGCTTGGGCGCCAGATGATGTCCACGGCCCTGTCCCCAGGCGTCAACGTCCCGAGCTCCTCTCAGATTCCCGCCCAGTGGAGCGGAGTGGCGCGCCATATCCGCTTGCAGGGCATAGCGTGTCGCCGGGGCCGCCGCAGCGACACGCCAAGCAGCAGTTCCTGACCACGAAGGGATGCTCGTGCCGACGCCAGTCTCCGTCCGAGGAAGGAAAACTGCAGAAGCACAAACTTTCGGAGCGCCGCGCGGATTTCTTGGATCGGCGCTGGGCCCCCCCTTGCGGAGCCTCCGGCCCCGCCCCTGGCACTCAGCTGCGCTTGGGAAGAAGACGCTCGTGCGGACGCCGGTCTTAACCAACGCAGCACTCGGCACGCGCACCCACGCGAGCCCATGTTTTGCTCGTGCGGACGCCAGTCTCTACCAACGCAGCGCTCGGCACGCGCACCCACGCGAGCCCATGCTGAAAGACGGCGCTCGTTCTCCGGGCATGCATGTCTGCGGGGCGTCGGGGCCCCGCACTTACAACCATCTTATCGACTTTAGTGCATGTGGCAGCTGCGGTTCCGCGTTCCTGGCAGTGCCTCGCTTGCTGCTGTAGTTGGTTTGCCGACTTGTGGAGCCTATGGCTGTGAACAGGTCGCGGCCTGTGTATTAGTCTGTCTTCTCACTTCCTTCTCTCTCTCTCTTTCTCTCTCGCTCTTTGCGCTTCCCGTCCTAAGCGACACCATTCGGTGATAGAAATGTGGGCACTTTTTCTATCTTTGCCCCTGTCCGTGGCTGTCTGCCGTTCGCGCTTCCTCCCACTGGGGACCGTCACACAGCGCACTTGCCCCTTCTCCTCCTCCTCCTCCTCCTCCTCCTCCTCGTCATCATCATCAACATCATCATCATCATCATCATCATCATCATCATCATCATCATCATCATCATCATCATCATCATCATGATCATCATGATCATCATCATCATCATCATCATCATCATCATCATCATCATCATCATCATCATCATCATCATCATCATCATCATCCTCGTTGGGCCTGCCGCCCCCTTCTCCTCCTCATACTCCTCGCCTCCCCCCCCCTGTGAGTAGCCGTCGCGATCGAGTTCTATGAGTCCCAGCTTGCGGGTCGCTGGCCGGATGCTGGCAGGTCCCAGGGGGACGCTGTTCGCGTGAATAGCGCCGTTACAGAGGTCCCGCACGGACAGGGCAAGAGCGCGTGCCTGCTGCCGGGCGGCCGCGCGGCCAAAACCGTGCCCACGCGGGACGGGGCGGGGGGGGAGGACGGGGCGGGAACTGGAGCGAGAGGGGCAGAGGGATGGGAGGGCAGGGGAATGGGAGAAGGAGGCAGGGCAGGGGAGTGGGAGAAGGAGGCAGGGAGGGAGGGAGCGGGAGGAGAGAAGCTCTCCCTCGCCCTGCCCCCCCTCCGCCTTTGCCTCCTCCTCCGCCCTGCTGTTCGTCCGCCTCCCTCCCGCCTCCTCCTGCTGCAGCTGATGGCGGTACTGTCGATGATTACCGGCGCCAGGTCCTCCTCCTCCTCCTCCTCCTCCTCCTCCTCCTCCTCCCTCCTCCTCCTCCTCCTCCTCCTTTCCTCCTCTCCTCCTCTCCTCCTCCCCCCCCCCTCCCCTCCTCCTCTTCCTCTTTTTCCCTCCTCCTCCTCCTCCTCCTCTTCCTCTCCTCCTCCTCCTCCTCTTCCTCCTCCTCCTCCCCGGAAAACATATGTTCCTGCTGCTCTTCATCCTCCTCCTTCATAATTTCGGGCACAGCCGTTTTGGCTAAGCCGCTCGAGAAGCCGGCGACGGCGACATGCCGTACCCCACGCCAGGGTTTGTCGTCAAGCAGACATTTCTCGAGCTCGAAGACGACGAGGTTGCCGAGAATGAGGAGTTCGGGCCCCAGTTCGGCCGCGTCTCTCCCCCTACCCATGTCCCTTCACTTCACTCACCCTCACCCATCAGTTCCTCCCTCTTCGCTTCCTCTCTCCTCAGTGCTCCCTCCCGGCTCCCTCTGCCATTCACCCTCGCTCCCACCTCCATCCTCACCCGTCCTCTATTGCGAAGGCCTTACGGCGGGTGCCGCCGACACTGAAGGGGGAGGACGACGACGACGACGACGACGACGACGACGACGACGACGACGACAGTGGCAGCGGCGACGACGACGACGCTGACGTGGGGCCCTCTTGAGTACTATTGGGTGTCTCTTGGGGCGTATTAGAGGCCTCTTGGGCGGCCATACTGGGCGATCATCGGGCGACCCGATGCCCTCTTGACCCGTTTTGCCCCGTTTCGGGGCTCTCTTGCTACCAACAAGGTCACGCTACAACACGCACAAAGCCACGCGAGCGCCCAGCACTCGCGGTTGCGGGCCCCCTGAAAAGCATTCGATCTTACATACAGAGGATTCGAAGGGGCCTGGTGACACTCCACGCAGTGCCTGGCGGCATGGTGGCGGACGTGTCGCAATCTACACTGTGCAAGTTAGGTGGCGCACGCCATGCGGTGCAAGCTATTCGGTATGACTTATGTGGTGCAAGTTATGCGGTGTAAGCTGTGTAGGGAAACCTATGCGGTGTTGATGTGCGGTATGCGGTGGAAGCTATGTGGTGCAAACTAGGTGGTGTACGCCAGACGGTACAATATGTACGTAGCACGCCGCAATTGCGGATAAGAGTGAGGGGGCGGGCGCGGGCAACGCGGGCGTCGAGCCAACGGACCTCGTGGCCCTCACGAATGCAAAAAAGGCCTGCAACGAATGCAAAAGAAGCCCGCCGCAGGCGCCGAATATTTTGGGTGGGTCGCGGGATGGATCGCGGGTGGGTCGCGGGTGGGTCGCGGTGGGTCGCGGGTGGGTCGCGGGTGGATCGCGGGTGGGTCGCGGGGTGGGTCGCGGGTGGGTCTCGGGGTGGGTCGCCCGTGGGTCGCGGGTGGGTCGCCGATGCAAAAGAAACCCGTCGCAGGCGCCGGAATTTTGGCTTGTTCAGTGAACGTAATTTGGGTCGCGGGTAGGTCGCGGGCTCTCCACCTCCACCTGGAAGGAATTCAAAAACAGCCCGCCGCAGGCGCCGAACATTTTGATTTGTACACTGAACGCGGTTTGGGTCGCGGGTGGGTCGCAGGTTCTCCACCTGGAACGACCCGGAACGAATGCAAAAGAAACCCGCCGCAGGCGCCGAAAATTTTTGGGTGCGTCGCGGGGTGGGGTGGGTCGCGGGTGGGTCGTGGGTGGGTCGCGGTGGGTCGCGGGTGGGCTCGCGGGTGGGTCGCGGGGTGGGTCGCGGGGTGTCGCGGGGTGGGTCGCGGGTGGGTCGCGGGTCGGGTCGCGGGTCGCGGGGTGGGTCGCGGGTGGGTCGCGGGTGGGTCGCGGGGTGGGTCGCGGGGTCGCGGTCGCGGGGTGGGTCGCGGGGTGGGTCGCGGGGTGGGTCGCGGGTCGGGGTGGGTCGCTTGTGGGTCGCGGGTGGGTCGCCAGGGGGGTCTCGGGGTGGGTCGCGGGCGGGTCGCGGGGTGGGTCGCGGGTGGGTCGCGGGTGGGTCGCGGGTGGGTCGCGGGGTGGGTCGCGGGTGAGTCGCGGGGTGGGTCGCGGGTGGGTCGCGGAGCGGGTCGCGGGTGGGACGATGACAACAACAAACAACAACGACGACAACAACAACAGCAAGAATCCGCATCGCGGAATTCCATTTCAGCCACGCACCCAGGGACAGTGAATGACCGCTGGATTCAGCCCCCCCTCTCTCTGAGTTTATATATATATATATATATGTATAGAGAGATTGGTGGTTTCAAGCTATTTGATGTAAGCGATGGTGTGCCTGCTACGTGGTGTACACCATGTGGTGGAAGTGACGCTACGAACGTCCCCAATCGCTGCTTGCACTCCAGGGTTCTTACTTACGTTCCGTATCGGAATTGGGTGGGCCCGCCGAGCTTTCGCCTGGTGCCCGCCTCGTGAGCGCCTCGTGGGCGCCTCGTGCGCTGGGTGGGTCCGCCGAAGGTTCGCCTGGTGCCCGCCCGTGAGCGCCTCGTGAGCACCTCGTGCGCTGGGTGGGTCAGCTAAGGTTTCTCTCACTACAGCCGGGGCCCTGAAGAAGGAACCCTTTTCGTTGGGGAGGGGCTCGGTGTTCCGTGACTGTTCTACAGTTTGCCTTCTGTGCTCCTGACGCGTTCCATGGGAAATCGAAGTTCAACTTATGGGAGAAAGGGGCCCCGTTCCTTATTTAGGGTTCCTTAGGTCAACGCCCCGACTGTACACAGCTTACACGAACCAGCTTGCACCGCATGTACTATCCTTTCGCAAGAAGAGCCGAGTCTGCCACCCTCCCGAGCCCGGGCTTTTCGGGCCACTTGGGGATAGAACAGTTTGCATGTGATTATGCCTCCTCGTTCGTAGTGAATATGAATCCATGCCGTCCTAGCCAGGCCGGTATTGACAGCCCCGCGCCCTTGACAAATTATACCATGCGCGCGCATTCTTGTAGATTTGAACAGAATTTGAAGGACGCATGGACACGTACAACATAATCGACACACTCGTACGCACATGTCGGATTCAGACCAAACGCAACAGTTTCGCAGGCATTGCCACACGGAACATGCAAACAACCCATTTGGTTGTCAATGCACTTGTTGCAGATATTCTGCCCGTGCGCAGTTGCTGACATCAGGGGAATACCGCATGAGTTTAGCCATCTTGTCCAGAACCCGGTGCGCGAACCCGTGCTAGATAATACCAGGTTGTTCTAGCAGGTCGAGCACGTGTGCATCACATTTGATGTAGCATGTTCCCAGTGCGCGAATCCGTATTAGATATTACCATGCGGGCTACACATGCGCACGCCGCCAAAGGCGCGTGCCGAAATCCGATCACATTCATATGTCTTCGCAGCATTTCAAGATAGATCTCTTCAAACACTTGTGACAATCCACATGCTCTTCATCAGCAAAGCCTGCGAGATAATTTAAATGTATTCGCGCGCGTACTTCCTCATCGCTCTCATCAACGCCATCGCATCCCCGCCGTTGTCGCCATCGACAGACAACCGCCGCCATCGCAGCCATCATCAACACAACCACCCTCATCGCCGACATATGGGCAGAATCATCGTCATCGTCTTCACCAGCACCGACGTCGTCATTGACCTTGCCGTCGTCATCGTCGTCATCGCCACCGTCATCCTTGTTATCATCATCGCTGCCGCCCTCGTCGGGGTCATCTTGGCATCGCGCCCGCCCGGGCCGCCGGCCCTCACGACAGAGCCCGCGCGCTCGCGCGGCCTTAGCGACGCGCTGGGAAGCTCCCATCGGTAAGCCCCATCGCGGCCGCATCAGTGGTGCCAAATCCGCTGGTCGCGCTGCGTTCGAGCGCGCGCGCGCCAGCGCGGCCGCAGAGACGCGCCAGCGAGTGCCAATCGGGAACCCCAATCATGGCCGAACGGGCTTTGCCAAACAGGTTGCGGGTGGGAGGGTGGGGGGGGGGTGTTTGTGCGAGCGTCGGAGTTGACAATTCATTAGTGGCAAAATGCGTTTCTGCTTCTAGAGGAACATCAACTCCACCATCCTCCCGAGCCCGGGCTTAACCGCCTCCCTCGGCGCATTGCAGTTTACATATAATCTGGCCTTGTCGTTCACCTTCCAGATGAAATCTTGCCAACCCAGGCTGGCTGGTATCGATCTCCTCCTCTTCAGTCCTGTCAAAGAGCAGCATGCGCGCACACCCGTTTATCTGAGAGGACTGTTATTCGAGAGCCTTTGGCAAGAAGTGCAACAAAGTCCTCACGCGCGCGCATGTCGAAACCATACCAAACGCTAGGTGTGGAAGCGCTCTGGCATAACAAAGTGAAACACATCGTTTTATGCTCGTCAAAATCATGTTCAGGTTTTCTGCCCGCGCACACTTGCCAACATCGTTTGAAACCCGCATGGGTTTTGCAATGTCGTCCAGAAGCCGCGCTGTCATCTCACAACGCGGTGCTTCCGCGTTGATCTACAATGCGCCCATTGCACGACTCTGTATCACAGAACACCATGCGTTCAGGGCACGAATCCGTAGCACATATCATCATTGCACGGCGATGAAGACGGCGGCGGTGGTGATCCCGATGATGGTGGTGATGATGGCGATGCTGATGACGATGAAGTTGGTGATGTGTGATGACGATGATGTTGGCGATGGCGGTGGAAACGACGACGCTGAATACGGTGACAGCGATTGCGCTGATGAGGACAAGTAAATGCGCACCTGCAGAAAGCAAAGCATCCCGACATGACCTCGACGCGAGCGCATGGAAATTTTCGCGTATGGCCCACATGGTACGATTTGAAAGAGTTCGTGGGCGCGCGATGGTGGTTGAGCTTTTTTGGCATGCGCGCGCGGGTTCCCCAGATGCTTTGTTTTGACACCATTGTTAGCAACTGGTGTTGCTATAAGAGGGCGCGCGCATAATTATTGCAATTCGTTGGCTTAAGAGCAGATAACTGTTGATAGGTTTGACTCGCCCTGTCTGGAAGTGGATCGCCACATACTGTTGTTCTAAGAACTTGACGTGCGCGCGGCGCGCGCGTGTGGACCTTAGTCGTTTTTTCGCTGCAGAGGGTTTTACAAAGCACGATAAATTGCTTATGCAAAACAGCGAATGCGTTCGCATGGTATTGTTTGCCCGGAGTGACAGGTTGTGTGTACACCGGCGTGGCAGGGATGGAATTCGCAGTGCCCCATGGGGGAGCGCATAGGTCTTGGGGGAAGAGGCATTTTCAAAGTGGGGTTCGCGCTCGAAATTTCAGAACAATAAGCGACAAGAAGCTTGATTGTCTGTTTTTTGGGCAGCCCAAAACGGGGTCCAGGCAAAAGGGGCGGGGGGGCAAAACATTCGCTGGCACTAAGATATCCGACGGGCCAGTGCGAAAATGATCGCGCACTTGCGCAGTTCGTTGCAACGTGTGCCTGCCAAGGCCTCGGGGCATGCAAAGAAATGAGGCAGACGGCTGACGGGCTCCCCGGAGTGTTCTCGAAGACCTCGGCGGCCCATTTGTGGCAGTAGCCGCATCCGGAGTTGGCGTGCTTGGTATGGAGTGCGCTGTCCGGCACGTAATGGGCGTTGCAGTTGCAGCGCGCGCGGACGACGCGTTGCAAATGTATTGCAGACGGGCCAGTGGATTGCCAGTGGTCGAGGAGGAGGAGGAGGAGGAGGAGGAGGAGGAGGAAGAGGAGGCGAAGGACGAGGACGAGGTTGAGGAGGAGGGGGATGCCCTCCTCAATCCTCGGTACCCCTCGAGTCCTCAAGTCATCGATCCTCGATCCTCCTCGAGTTCTCGAGTCCTCAATCCCCCTTGAGTCCTCGATCCTCGACCCCTCGATCAGCTCCTCCTCCCCGGCCCCCCGACGTCACGATGTTTTCATAACGTCGACCCCCAGAGGTCTCGACCCATTCCCCAGGACCTGCTCTTCATCCCGAGTCGTTTTCGGACAGCCCCGAAGCCTGTAAGGGCCCCGATAGTGTGAAAACAGCGTACGGATTCCAGTCCGAATTCTTGCCTGACCTTGTCATCGCTCGGGCGTGTGACTTTTCTCTCAGCGAGGACCCTCGAGAAGCATCCTGGACCACCCTGCGCACAAAACACTCGCACGAAAAATCGAAAAACACGGGGCATCGGCGTCCGAGCAATGCCGAGTGCCTCGAGGGTTGTGGAGGACGATCAATGGAGAGGAAGCATGTTCAGAGCCCCGAATCATCAGGGGTAACTCGGGTCAGGGATAACTCGGGTTCGTTTTTCGGGAATCCAAACCCGAGTTACCCCGGACCCGAGTTACCCCGGATAACTCGGGCGTCCAGAGCCCCGAATCATCAGGGGTAACTCGGGTCAGGGCTAACTCGGGTTCCTTTTTTCGGGAATCCAAACCCGAGTTACCCCGGACCCGAGTTACCCCGGATAACTCGGGCGCCCAACATGTTGCCAAATAGTTTCCAGATGTCTACAAAAGTTGTTAAACTTGTTTTCAAACATGCAAGCGTTTCCAGGACATGGCTCCGTCAGTTTAAACACATGTTGAATTTGATGATCGGACTGTTGGGGTGTCCATTGTCGTGGCATCCACAACCCGAGGGGCCCGGGTACGCCGCCGCCTCCTCCCCCGCTCCCGCGAGGACCCCGCGCCGCTCCCGCGCATGGGCCGCTCCCACTCGGACACCGACCTGGCCCAGTGGCCCGGCAGGCCCGGCAGACCCAGCTCTGTGGAGAAAACGCGCGGTGGAAACACGCACACACGCACACACAACACACACACACACACATACACGCACACACACGCACACACACACGCACACGGACACACACACACACAGACACACACACACACACACACACACGCACACACGCACACGCACACACGCACACACGCACACACGCACACACGCACACACACACGCACGCACACACATACGGTGGATAAACACACACACACACACCAGTGGAACAATAAACACATTGTTGTTTCACTGTGCTGATGTGTGTGTGTGTGTGCGTGCATGCGCGTGTGTGTGTGTGTGTGTATGTGTGTGTATGTGTGCGTGTGTGTGTGCGTGTGTGTGTGCGTGTGCGTGTGCGTGTGCGTGTTCGTGTGCGTGTGCGTGTGCGTGTGCGTGTGCGTGTGCGTGTGCGTGTGCGTGTGCGTGTGCGTGTGCGTGTGCGTGTGCTTGTGTGTGTTTCACAGACCTCTTCTCGGCACGTTCCAGCGGAGCCCTTCCCAGAACCTCCTTCCAGACACCGATCTGGGCCAGTGGCCCGGCAGGCCCAGCAGACCGCTTTTTTGCCCTGAGCTCGCGCCGCGGAAACATTACGCAAGACCGTCTGTTTTTTCTTTGGGCACCGCCTCCGTGCACGCGTCGGGTGTTGCTAGAAGTGCCCCTGGCCCAGGGTGCCCCCAGCTTTCCGCTCCATCCTGGAGCCCCTGGGCCCCCCTGGGCCTCGTGAGGGGGTGCCCTGGAGGCCGTGGGGGCCTCCTTGGATATCCTCGGGGCACTTTGGGCTAGGGTCGGCGACTACAATCGGTGCGGTTACGCCGGGGTGCGGTTTGCGAGTTGCTTCGTGGCGGCCTTTCTGGGGTCCTTGTGAGAGACAGTGTCATAACTGTCGTCGTTTCGAGCGACACTGTCATCCTCGATGTGTGCTCCACTGTATTAGAAGGAGCGACAGTGTCATGTGATTCGGTCGCATTGAGTGACAGTGTCATCCGTTTCCCGGGGGGGGAGGGGCAGATAAGACGGGAGGCAAACCGCACCTTTCGCAAACCGCACCCATTGTAGTCGGGGGCGGAAAAGAGGGGGGTGATGACTAGGAGGTGGTGGATAGCATGGCTTGGGCCATCATATTTCCCAGATTTCATGGCGCCTCTTCTTATTTCATTACGTCCCTGGCCCCCCAGCTGGGCCGCGCACATGCTGCCGGTCATGATTTGCACCCCCCCCTCTTGGACACCCCCCTCTTGGCCGCTCCCGATGTAGTCGCCGATATGGGGCACTTCTAGCAACGCCCGATCCGTGCACGAAAGGGAAAACAAACTAATCACAGTGGAGGCGTTTGTCCAGGAGCAGTCCCAGGAGGCGCCAGGCCCTGGAGGATTCCTGATCGGATGAGGGCGGCAGTGATTTCCATGGCCAAACCTCGATTCAAATTCCACCCTAGATTCCTTACCTGAGGGTTCCTCATCCATCAGGAGGAAAAGAAACACACAGGCACAATTCATCGTCGGTTCCCCAGAAAATATGAGAAAATATGGGAAGTGTGGGGGGGGGAGGACAGAATCCCAGAAAATACATGGAAAACATTGGGAATCATGTTATTATTTGTGTGTCCTTGGGCCCCTTGAATTATGTCGGGCGTGTCCCCCTACAGGGGGATTTTCGACGAAAAGTAAAAAACCCAAGCATGCCCCAAAAAGGCGAAACAATAGCCCAAAAATAGTCCCCTGACTATTTTGGGATTTTTGTTTTATCATTTGGGGGGTATTGTTTTACGTTTCGTCCAGAATTCCCTTGTAGGGGGACAGGCCCGACTTAACCCTTGAATTCAATGTCTCCCGCCGTAAACGAGGCCCAGCAGGTTCGGATCCGAGGACATGCGGCGCTACTGGCAGGAGTACCTGGCCCAGGAGCAGGGCGCGGCGGAGGCGGGACGCTCAGAGGGTAGGGTTGGGGGGGTGGGGGGGGGGGCGCTCCCCATCCTCCTCCTCCTATCCTACTCCTCCTCCTCCTCCCCCATCCTCCCCCTCCTCCCCTCCCAAACACCTCCTCCCCTCCTCCTCCTCCTCCTCCCCTCCTCATCCTCCTCCTCCAATTCCTCCTCCTCCTCCTCCGCCTCCTCCTCCTCCTTCCTCCTCCTCTCCTCCTCCCCTCATCCTCCTCCCCCTCCTCCCCCTCCTCCCCCTCCTCCCCCTCATCATCCCCCTCCTCACCCCTCCTCCTCCCTCCACCTCCTCGCCTCCTCCCCCTCCTCCCCCTCCCCCTCCTCCTCCTCCTCCTCCTCCTCCTCCTCCTCCTCCTCCTCCTCCACAATTACTCAATATGAAAATACTCTCCCTCTTCCCCTGATGGCGTCCAGGTGATGGCCGCGCACCCTCCGCGTACTGTTTTTTTACACACAGGATTCCCGGGAAATCCCGGGAAACGACTCTCGCTGAGGCGCCGGCGTCATTTTTTCCCAAAATGCTGCTCTCGTTGAGGCGCCTGGCCTCATTTCTGCTCCCGAATCGTTCCGAATCGTGCTCCCGCTGCAGCGTGGGCCTCATTTTCGGATCGGTGTTTGGCCTCCGTCGTTCAGGATGGCGTTCTCGCCCCAGCGCGGGCCTTTTTTCTCGCGCGCCCATCCGCCCGCCACCACCGCGCCGCACCGCCACCACCACCACCACCACCACCACCAACCACCACCACCAGCACCACACCATACCAACACCACACCACAGCACCACCACCACCACCACCACACCACCACCACCACCATCACCACCACCACCACCACCACCACCACCACCACCACCACCACCACCACCACCACCACCACCACCACGACAACCACGCACACACGCACGCACGCACGCACGTGCACCACCACCCACTACGCACGCGCGCGCGGAGCCACAGGTCCGCTACGACACGCGTCCGCGGATAGAGAAAATCAGCGCCATGGCAAGGGATGGGAGGGAGGGGTAGGACGTCAGATATGACGCGAGCCCACCTAGCTTGCCCTCCTCCCCCTCCCCCTCCTCCCCTCAGCCTCCTTCTACTCCTCCTCGGGGGGGGGGAGAGGCGGGAGCCCAGACCCCCTCGAGCCAAGTTGGGCTTGTCCCTCTACAGGAGGAACATCCAAGGAAGTTGAAACATAGTCTGGGGACGATGTTTCTAGTATGGTTTGATCCTTTTTGGGGTTTCGGGGGGACGCATTGTCAATTCGTCGTCCAAAACTCGCCTGTAGGGAGACATGCCCGACCTAACCCTCGATCCATGAAACAAAACCGTTCAGAGGAGTAGAATGCACCGATACCGCTACCCTTGCCTCGTCTTCCCTTTTCGGGCCTCCTGGGAAACCCTCGTCGCAACCGCTGGATTCGCCTCGAGATCCTCTTCAGAACGCACCCCAGGAAGAGGTCCGGGAAGTAGCAGTATCGGTACCTTGTGGCTTCTCCAGCGACAGAAGGCTTTTCGCCTTGTTCGGCCTCTGGGAAGCCGTTACTGTGCCCTGGGGCCGTCTAAGAACGGCTCAGGGTGTTTGGTCTTGGGGAATGGGTCGAGACCTTTGGGGTCGACGTGATGAACAAATCGTGACGTCGGGGGTCTGGGAGTGGCGAGCAGGAGGTACAATGACTTCGGGCCCGCTGTTATTTTTGGTTTCTATTCCAATTTCAAGTTGTGTCGAACATGCACACCGAACTACACGAAAAGAAGGGCGGAAATGCCCGCCTCATAGAAGTATTTCGACTGCTTCTGCAAAGGCACGGCGGAAACAGCGACGGCGAAGTAGGGCGGGAATCGGCATCACAGGAGCTTGAACAAAAAGTAGGTCGGGCATATCTCCGCCCTACGTGCGACACCGCCCAGCGTTCGGCGGATCCGAAGTCGGGGCAGGAGGACTGGCCCTGCACCGGAGCGACCTTCCTACTATAGACCCTCTCGCGTCGAGAAAAAAAAAAACACCACGGGTACCTTTTATGACGGCCCCGCGGGGCCTGGCGAGGGCCCCCCGGGCCCTCGCCGGGCCCCGGGAGTGGCCCTGCACCGGAGTGACCTTTCTATAGACCCTCTCGCGTCGAGAAAAAAAAACACCACAGGTGCCTTTTATGACGGCCCCGCGGGGCCTGGCGAGGGCCCCCCGGGCCCTCGCCGGGCCCCGGGACCGCCAGAAAACGACTCGGCATGACGAGCCGCTCTTGGGGGCGGCGAGCAGGAGGGGCGACCCTTCGCAGGGATGACTTCTCTGGTGCCCGCCCGCAGCCGAAGAGCAAAACAAACATGCACAAGCACAGGCGGGGCTCCGCGCAGATGGCTTGCCTCGGGGCCAGGCCCCCTGGCGGCCCTCTGGCGCCGCTCCTAGCGCAGGGCCGCAGGTCCGTACGGTGACGCACCGATGAGGTCTGTGGGGAGCCTGGGGTCACCGCACGGTCTGTCGCAGCACAGGTCCGGGACCAGGAACATGCAGTAGAGGAAAAAAAACAATGCACATGCACCGATTCTGGCCAGGCCCATCCTGAGCCCAGAATCGGTGCATGCGCCCTCCTACCTTGGCCAGGAAGGCATATGCACCGATCCTGGGTCAAGGGTGGGCCTTGCCAGGATCGGTGCATGCGCATAGTCTTCTTCGCCCGATGCAGGGGTCCCCCCCCGGCACTGGCTTGCCCGCCTGGCGTTATTCCTGAGGCGGCCCCCGCCAACGCCGTGCACCGAGGGTGACTCTTGCCCGGGGCCGCTCCTGCGCGTGGCCGATCCCTGGGGCGGGCCGAGCAGGGGAGGAGGGGAGGGACGGAGGGGGTCCCAGGCCTCCAGAGAGTCGAAGATAAGTCAACCCGCACAGTACGTAAGGATAGGGCAACCTTCCCGAGGGTGCCCTTGCATCCTTGCCTCCTCGGTCCACCCCTCGCCGCCTCGCTGGCCGCGCCCCGCTCGACAAGATTCGACATGGGGGTCCAAGGCCCTTGCGTCCTTATCTCGGAGGTGGACAGACCTCCTACCCTGACACGTCGATTAGCGAATTGGCCGTTTTCGGTTCGCGAGAAGGCGTCGCGGCCGTCATTTTTGCGGGTCCAGGTCTGTCGGTTTCAGTCCCAGGCCGTTGTCACTAAAGGGAGGTTTACTAAAGGGAGGTTTGTCCACCGCCGATGATCGCGCATCCTTCATACAGTCAACGCTCATAGTAAGGACAAACGACTTTTTCAAAGGTACCCTTGGGTCCTTGCCTGCCTCAGCCTCTGCGGCCCGTCCCTAGCAATTTTCGCAGGCCAGAATACTTCAACTTCGGCCTCCAAGGGTCTTGCGTCCTTACCACGCGTCCTTACTATACGTTTTCACTGTACACTGGTTGACCGTAATTACCGAGTCTCGTGCCTGTCTGCACGCTTCGCATCCCGGGGCCGGCGCCCGGGAGGAGGAGGAGGAGGAGGAGGAGGAGGAGGAGGATGAGGAGGAGGTGATGAGGTAGAGGATGGAAGTGACTGAAGAGGAGAAGAAGAGGAAGTGAGAGGAGAGTAGGAGGAGGAGGAGAGGTTGGAGGAAAAGAGGAAAGGAAGGAAAAGAGGAGGAAAGGAGAAAAAGGAGAGGAGCGAGGATGAGAGGAGGAGGAGGAGGAGGAGGAGGGAGGAAGAGGAGGAGAGGAGGAGGGAGAGAGTGGAGGATGAGAGGAAGAGGGAGAGGAGGATGACGCCGGACCCCTGCCGAGACGTTGAGCCGCTCCGCGAGGAGCGTCCGTCTGCCGGGAGGCGGCCGAGAGAGTTCTATAGGCTCCGAGTCTCGACGACAGAGCGGGTCTTTTGGGGGGTCTGGGGTGGGAAGGGAGGGGGACTCCTCCTCCCCTCCCTCCCTCCTCCTCCTCCTCTCCTCTCCTCCTCTCCTCCTCCTTCCGTCCTCCAACCTCCTCCTCCTCCTCCTCCTCCTCCCTCCTCCTCCCTCCTCCTCCCCTCCTCCTCCTCCCCCCCACCCTTCTCCTCCTCCTCCTCCTCCCTCCTCCTCCTCTCCACTCCTCCTCCTCCTCCTCCTCCTCCTCCACACCTCCTCCTCCTCCCTCCTCCCTCCTCCCTCCTCCCTCCTCCCTCCTCCCTCCTCCCTCCTCCCTCCTCCCTCCTCCCTCCTCCCTTCTCCCTCCTCCCTCCTCCCTCCTCCCTCTGGGGGACAAGGGCATGGAGTCTGGGGAGGGGACGGGGAGGAGGGGAGAGAGGGACGGGCGAGAAAACTCTGCTTACATATACGGTCTGGAACTCTGGCGTCGCTCAGGCGGGTCCGGCCTACCACGCTTCGGCGCGACACGCCAACCACTTTCCAGCCTTCATGCGCGAACGTCTCGAGTGTTCAGCTACCCGCTCCGCGGAGCGGAGCGACACACTATTGGCTCACAGGTAACAGCGTGTCGCCAGGGCCGCGGCCGCGAAAGCTCCTGACCGTAACGTTTCGGAGCTCCGTGCGGGCTTCCTGGATTGGCGCTGGGCGGGGTCTGGCGCTGGGCCGAGAAACCCGCTCGCAGTTCCGAAAGATTGGGTTGATGCAGGTTTCTCCCCCCGAAGGATCGGGACGATCGAAATGGGTATGTACGGGAAGACCGACAGAGCAGTTCGTGCCCATTTTTCGGCGGCGAGCGAGGGGGGGAAACGAGAAGGACTTCTCAGAAGGCGGCAGGACTTCTCAGAAGCCCTCGCGCCCTCTGAGAAGCTCCCTGCGTCTTCGGGGAAGGCTTATTGGAAAAACTTCTCAGAAGGCCATGGGGACTTCCAAGCCTTTTGAGAAGACCGGCCCTTTCTCACTTCCCCCACCTCGCCCGCCGCCGAGTCTTGAACAGGGCCCGCTGTGGATGCCGCCGCGGACTGTGTCCACTGGAGCCAGCAAGGCCGCCCAGCCCACAGCGGCCTGCGGTTGGTGTTGGGCAGCATCTGCTGCTGGGCACGGTGCCCGTTTTTTTTTGTCCGTGCGCATTTCGGGCGTCCAACAAGAAGGGGGAGGCGGCGGAGGAGGGCCGGTACCGTTTAGCCAATCCCCATCCCCATCCCCATCCCCTTCGAGACCCCCACCAAATTACCACCCAAGTTGGGGATACACCCCTCGAAGCCCGAAGGATACGGCCTAGATCCCCATCTAAGGGGGGTAAATCGGCCAGTGGGGCCCAGGCCACGCCGCGGGGGATGGGGATCGGCTCAACGATGCTCCGAGGGAGGACGAGGGCAAACCCAGGATGCGCAGACGACGCTGCGACACGCCCTCCCTCCCCCAGCCTCCCCCCTGCGCGCCCCCCACGGGCGCTCCTGTCCACTGCGTGGCGGGTGCCCCCGCAAGGCGAGCGCCCCGCGCGCACGCCTCTCGGGCGGGAGGCCGTCCTGAAAAGGGCGCGGCGTCACGCGCTGTCGTTGAAGCGATGCCCAGGGGCATAACAAGAAGGTCCTAGAGAATGCCCGTCGATAGCCCCGTGTTGAAGAGGAACGACCCTCCATCCACACGCCAGGGAGAAAACCTGCGGGGGGCGCCGCAGGTTTCCGCGTTTGAGGCCGGCCTCAAGCGCGCTTGAGGCCAGCCTCAAGCGCGAGCCCCATCCGAACAAGGACTTGCGTCCCCAGTCCTTGTCACAGTTGGTAATGTGGAGCTTGTGGTCATAAGTGTTAGAGTCTCCAGTGGGAGCCCCAGTTAGAGAAGGAGCCGCCCCGCATCCGTGTCGCGCAGCTGGTCAAAGTAGCTTAGGACGGACGTGCGCGGCGCACGGGCGAGAGCGACAGTTCGGCACGACCCGCTCTCCATCCGTGTGACTGCTGGAAGCCGTTACCCGAGCATGTTTCTTCGGGTGGAGGGCGAATGGTGAAATCTGAAATGCCGTTTCGCTGGATGTTCGAGGCTTGAATCTGCAAAGGGTGGATCACAAGACGGACTGGCTCTCGAGGTGCAAAAGCCCCTATGGGTTTTTCACCACGAGCCCTCCACCCTAGGAACATGCTCAGGTTACAACGAGCTTGAGCGGCGGCACGGCGAAAGTCGCACTTTGGAGGCCACCCGCGCTCCATCCGTGTACGTGTTGGGCACGTCAAGTTCTGGGGCCAGTGTTTACCGAGGGGAACGCCAGCCTACCGACACGCCTGGTGGCCCGAACTCTCTGCGTTGCAGTGGGACGAAATGCGAGGAAGCTGGAGGCTCCGAGGAGGAGATCGCACTGCGGGGGAGGGCGGCGGCTGCGCGGAGCGCAGGGCAGGGGGGGGGGCAAGGGGAGCGGAGGGCAAGGACCAGAGGGAGGGATGGGGGGCCGGACGAGGGGAACGGAAGGGAGGGCCGGACGGGGTCGACCGATGGAGGGACCGCGGGAGTGGGGCGAGGGGGCGGGACGGGGAGGGCAGGGGCCGGAGGGGGGAGAGGAGGAGGGGGGGGGAGCAGCCAGGGGTGCACAGGGGGAGGGGGGCCCACGGGGAAGGGAGAGGGCGCGCGAGAGCAGGCGAGGGGGCGCGCGCGCGCGCGGCCGAGGCCGAGACGCCGCCCGCGACCCCGCCGGCCAGCGCCCCGCGCGCCGCGGGCGAGCTCGCCCTCGGCCGGGCGCTGGCCGGCAGGCTCCGCCGGCTGCGCGCGCGGGGCGCGGCGGGGCGCCGCGGCCGCGCGGCGGCGGCGAGAACACGCCGCGCACCCGCAGCTCGCCCCGCAGAGCGCCGCGGCGCGGAGCCCCGGGCGGCGGCGGCGCGCGCGCGCGGCCGAGGGCGCGGGCCAGGGCGAGGGCGAGGGCGAGGCGCCGCGGGCGGGGGCGGCGCGCAGCCCAGACCCCAGCCGTCGTCGTCGCGACCGTCGAGCCGTCGAGCCGCGACGGCGAGAACAGAAAGACACACGCCACGGGGTGGGGGGTCGTCGTCGGGGTGGGGCTGTCGGCCCCCGGGAGCCCCGGGAGCTCTCGCCGGGCCGGCCGCGGGGCCGCGAGATACACACGGCGGCTCGGGGGGGGAAGAGCCGGTCCCAGGGAGCGGGTATCGAGGCCTCCGGGGGTCGGCGTTGCGAACAGAGCATGCGTGGCGTCGGGGGGTCCGGGACGAGGGGGCGCGAGGCATGGGGAGGCGGCGAGGGCCGCGGACGAGAGGCCCTGGGGGGCCCCTGGAGGAGCCCGTTCGGGCCCAGAAGGGAGCCTCGAGGGCCCGAGAGGTGCGCCTTGCCTCCTCCTCCTCCACCTCCTCCTCCTCCTCCTCCTCCTCCTCCTCCTCCTCCTCCTCCTCCTTTCTTGATCGTCCCCCCAGTAATCGACGCCTGAAGCAGAGGGCCGCTGGAGGCGCTGGCAGTCTTGGCCTTCGGCCGGGGGGCCCTCGTCGCCGCGGCCGGGCGCAGCGCGGGGAAAGCTGGTGCGTTTGGGCCCCGGGAGGGGTCTGTCGGGAGGAGATTGGGCGCCGCGTAATGAGGGGGTCATAAATGGGGGGGTGGCGAGCGTGGTCCGAAAAGGTACCCAGACGGTACCTAAACGAGCCCCCTGGGGCTCCGGAGGGGCCCGAAAGGGGCACGAAAGGGGACCCCCTCTGACCCCCGCATTTGTGACCCCCCCATTAAGCCACGCCCAAGGAGAAAGAACACACACAGACACAAGGAATCGTCGGCTCCCAGGAAAATTTATAGGCGAAAATGTGGGAAGTGGGGGGGAAGACGAAAACCCAGGAAAGATTAGAAGATATGGGGGATCCTGTTATTCGTGTGTATCTATTTGTGTGTCCCAGGGCCCCTTCAGGCCTGTCGGGCCTGACGAAAGGGGGGTATTGGGAAAGGGGGGGTACGACATCTGCTGCATGCAGCTGGTTTCGGCCCCGCCGCCGGGCCCATTCCTCGATACCTGGGCGCCTCCCAGCGCCGGAGGGCGCCGGGAAAATCAGCTGCGTGAGCTGATTCTCACCCCCCCCCTTTGCGATCCCCCCCCTTTCGGCCGGCCCGAGGCTGGGGACCGATGTCGAGCCGATCTCAAGTTTCCAGCGTCGTCTCACCTCGCCCTCCTCCGAGAGGCGGAGGTCGCGCCCGGCTGGGCCGCCACGCCGTCCTCCGCCAGCGGCGGCACGGACCCTGCCGAGCGCGCTCCACCACTCGCAGAGTATACCTGCTCGCAAACGTCCGAATAGGAGCATGTGCTTGCGTGGATGTGGTGGGTCGTAGAGCCTCCGCGGCGGATCCAGGCCAACTGCGAGTAGTGACTCTGCGAGTGAACCTCTAAGGCCTCCCGCATGCATCGGGTCCGAGCAGGTGGGGCCGGTGGATCGCGCCGCATCCCAGATGCATCGGCGACGCGGCTCGACGTGGAGCCCGACCTCGTCGCCGACGCATCTGCGATGCTACTGCAATCCTGCGACCCCATCGTCACGGACCCCCTTTGGGGAGGAGGAGGAGGAGGAGCAGGAGGAGGAGGAGGAGGAGGACCAGTGTAAACCCAAGAGTCATCAACGATGTTGGAATTAACCCTCCCTCCAAGCTCCCTCTTCATAGGCCCCTACAACGATTCATTTCCATTGAAGGAACTGCCTCGTTGGAAGACAACCATTTGAAGACCTTGAAGCATGCCGAAACATTCTTCTCGGAATTTCCACGCCACGGATCAACCTGACAGCTGCGTCCTGGCTATCTGGAATCGTGCCAGAACTCCGTTTTTTGAGACCTCACCACCGCGAATCAACATAACTGTTCCGCAAGCGTAATCCTTCATCGAATGGAGGAATGGAGGAATGGAGGAGGAGGAGGAGGAGGAGGAGGAGGAGGAGGAGGAGGAGGAGGAGGAGGGGGAGGGGGAGGGGGATGAGTGCGGAATGCCTTTTACCCTTGAGCCAACCAGCGCGGCAGCTCTCTCTCTCTCTCTCTCTCTCTCTCCGCACGCCGCCCTGCCGTGCTGGGGCGACGAGGCGGGGATGGCGCCGCGGAGGGGCGCGCACGACAGGCAGGGAGAAAGGGAAAGAGAAGCGGGAAACCTGACGCACATGACCCCTCGGAGTCCGCAGGCTGATCAGACCTACGTACTGCGTACAAGGATTAGTCTAGCAAAGTGCAATTATATACCACAAAAGGTTCGTGCAATGGCCAGCCCATAAATGTGTAAACCGTCGGTGTGTGTACTGTACTTAGGCGTTCCTCGATACCGGGCGCGCCCCGATGGGGCAACGGCCCTCAGTCGTAGACGGTGGTGCGCCGGACGATTTCGAAGTAGTTCCTGGGGGTGCTCCGCTTGACTTCGGCGTCGTCGTCTTCAGAGCGGCCCGCAAGGCTCGCTTGTTCTCGTTGCGGTTGTGTTGCTTTCGGTCCCTCTGCTTGTCGGAGAGCGGCGGGCGCTGGAAACAGCGCTTATGCTGACGAGGTAGCTCCTCCTCTGCCTGAGCCGTCGCTCCCTGCAAGATGTCCTCCGTCAAATCGGGCACGTCTTTGACGAGGTAGTCACGGCGTAGGGTGTCCAAACCAAGCCCTGTCTCAGAAACGAGCGTAAAGGGACTTTCGATCTTGCAGCAGACCTCGTGCACAAGATCACCGTACCGGGCGCCCCTGGAGACTCGCACCTCGAAGCTGTCCCCGGAGAACGGGTTGAGACACTGTGCGATGAAATAATCATCATCCGAGCTGTCGATTGTAACCTGAATGATCGTTGACGGGGCAAGGTTCGCCGGTGAAGTCGCAGATGTTGTCGTAACCAGTGGTCGTGGATCGTGTTTGGCTCGTTTCCGTGCATGTTCGTGTCTGGCGGCGACCCAAATGGGCACTCCTGCGCCCACGTCGGCCCGGAAGCGGACAGATCCAGCCGGCCGTGATACAACAGCGCAGCTGTCCTTGTCAGGCTTCTTGGCCCGGGCGTCCGCCCGAAGCTGCTCGGCGAGGCGGTCAGCTTTCCACAACTGCTGAACCTGGAGGTCCTCCAAGACCATCTGCCGCTTCCGCTGCGCTGGGCGATCCGTGTCGCACCGGCTTGCTGTCAGAGCAAAATACTCCGCGTTGTCCAGCACGACCGCGCGAGCGACGGTAGCAGCCATCCTCTGGCCAGGCGGTAGTGCCATCGGCGCTATGGGACGCGAGGCGGAGGAAGAGTCAGGGGCCGAAGCAATCCGAACCATCCCAACTCGAATCGAGCCGTTGGTCAGCCTACGGACCGGAATACCAAACAGACGGCCCGTGAGGTAAACGAGCTTGTTGTGGCCAAGTGCCTTGGTGAAGACGTCTGCGATGTTCTCAGAGCCTGGAGTGTGCTCTGGGATGATGCCGCATTCGTGCAGGAATAACAAAGATACTTCTGCATGTTTCTTAAGATGTCCTAGCTTTTGGCTGTAACCCTTCCTAATTGCGAGCTCCACCGCTTGGTTGTCCATGCGTCCACGAACTTCTACAGGCGTCGGCCGGGTGTACTCCACCATTGCCGCTAGGCGGAGTGCATGCTTGGCCGTGGTCGCCCAGGCCAGGGACTCGCTTTCTCCCGAACTCGTGGTTGTGATGTCTTGCCGAGCGGCGCCCCAAGACAACGGGTATTGAGACCCCTTGGGGCCAACAAGCTCGAGGTAAAACCCCGTGGTGCTTTTGGGGGAGTTGAAGTCGGCGTCTGACCATGCGGCAAGGCTCAGGTCATCCCAAGAATCACCAGCGTTCAACATCACCAGACCAAAATCAGACGTAGCCGAAAGATATCCCACAAGTTGGGCTAGCTCCGCCTCAGCCCAAGGGCACCACTTATCAACGTACCTCGCAATCCGGCCAACTGAAAATGAAGTATCAGGCCGAGAACAACGTGCAGAATAAAAACTCTCGCCTATGATCTTACGTCTACCTGTTCCGGCCTCTGCAAGAGGAAGGTCCTCGGGTCGAGGCGGTGTTGTCTGCTGGGCAGGCGTGGTGGTCGGTCGAGCTACGCGGCCAGTAACCGCCTCCCAGTCGCGGACGATACGCATACAGTACTCCGATTGCGTGATACACGAGACAACTCCGTACCTACCATCTGCGAGCGTCATGGCTTTAGGCGGGCTGAAAATGCAGCCTAAGAATTTCTGAACAGCCTCAGGGTCCTTCGAAGCAAACATAACACGTATGATATTCCAGATCATGGGTCTGTGTTTCTTCTGCGCGTCAAGCTCGCAGTCGTCCACATAGGTAGCCATGGTGCTGCAATGCTTTGAACTACGATGCTGGCGGTGCTGTGGCGTTATGGTTCTCTGGGACACCTCGTGCCACGAAGTGGTAGGCGAACAATCAGAGACGACAGCAAAAGGATTTCGACTAGCAGCTAGTTCAGAATCGACCCATGCTTTGAGCTTCACAGCATGCTGGAGAGCATCGCGCTCGAGGGTGTCATGCCAGCAATAAAACACGGCGGGTTCCTCTTCCATCGACTGCCACTTGTTCCATGCCAACCACTGGGTAAAAGCAGTGATGAAGTCGGATCCGGAACGGTGCAGCCCGTACAGCGCACGCTTGAGGCGACACACCGGCATCCGGAGAGATCGGAATTCAGACTGTTGGCTGGGGGGCAAAATGTCTATGACCTCAGCGGGGATGATGATGTAGTATTCGACGTCGCCACCTAGATGAACCTGAAGATAAGCACTGAGCAGGTCAATTGTCTCGGTCTCTCTACCCATGGCGAGGCTACGAGCTTGGACGAAACGGGCGCCAGTAAGACTCGAAACGGGCGCCCATAGTGAGCCAGGGTTCGAACGAACAACACGCATCCGTTTATCGAATAAGATGTTTCCCATTGCTACGAAGCGAGCTTTGCATTCGTGGAGTGCCTCAGGCATCTCCCAATGCTTTTCCGATATGAGCAACTTACCTTTCACGATGCGTGCGGTCTCAGGGACTGAATCCAGCTCTTGTGGTGGGAGCCATACGGGATGCTGCACCATCCGATCGAATTCCTTGGCCGCCGCCTGAGCACCGCGGCCATCAGGACGTTTGAGATACGATTTCGTGTCCATCAACTGTGTGACATGTGCCGACTGGCGCGCTAAGACGTACATGACTTCGGCCAGGGACTCTGTCCGGGTGATCTCGGTAGAGAATACACGGAACACATCGGTAGGCACCTCGGGGCTGCCAGCACCAACTGGAATGGCAGGCAGGCGCGGGGGAGTGGCAACGATGAGGGCTGCGATCTCCTCGACGCTGGGATCGGGGCGTGGGTCATCGACGTCAGACGCCCATGAGGAGGGGGCACTGGCCTCGGAAAGGTCCCAGTCGGAAGAAAACGAATCATCGTCCACTACGCCGGCCTGTCCTGCCCGTGCTCGTTTACGAGCGTGGTAACGTTCGCGCCAATACCGACGCTGCTCTTCAGTCGCACCGCGTCGACGGGCACCGCGGCTCTTCGCCGCCGGAACTGCTGCAGGCGAGCCGGATCCAGCCGGACGTGACGCAGCGTCACGGCTGTTCCCCGGAACGCCATGCTGCACGGCTGGCGCGGGCGCGGCAGGAGCAGCAGCAGGAGGCGGGACGGCATCCTCAGCGCTGGCCCAACTCCTGGGCGTGGAAAGCTCATGATGCACTGAAGTATCTTGGGGGGGCACGATTTGTCCGCCCTGGGCGCCGCCAGAATCGAGCGGCACATCGAGGGGCGCATTTGCGCGTCCAGGAACTCGCAGCGGGAACGTGCTGTCGAAGAAACGGACAGTCGTCGACACAATGGGCTGCTCGACGGACCAGCGATCGCCGATCGGAGAAATAGGTGCGATCCTGTGTCCTCCAGACGTGGTGGCGTCGAAACCGACAAAAATACCTAACTTTGCAACTGGTTGGAGCTTGTCAGAACGATGCGGTTTTGGTATGTGGTAATATACTTTACATCCCCAAGGTGGCCATTTAGAAACATCATGGTGACTCCCCTCTGGATCCTCCAATGCTTGCGGAATCTGTTTGGTATCGTGTCCGGGTACGGTCCGGGCGGTGTTGTTTATCAACGCGCTCGCGTGCAGAAGGGCCTCGTCCCACAGGGCACTCGGAGCGCCTGA